TTCGGCGGCCATGCAGCCACTGCAGCAAGCCTCTGGGCTCATGCAGCCTATGCAGTGGATGCCCAAAATACCCTAGTGAGTCCTAAGCCCTTCTCCGGCGACAGGAAGAAGGACGAGGATTTGGATACCTGGGTAAGGACGGTGCCTACTTATGTAAGGCACAAACTTACCAGGCCAGAGCAAGAAGTTGTAGTGGCTGCCTCCTTTTTAGAGGGGTCAGCAGCCCATTGGTTGAATGGCCTAGTGCAACAGCAGGGCTACGGTCAAAATTTTGATGCCTGGGCCCAGGCCCAGACATTGGAAGAGTTTGTACGGTCCGTGTACAACAGGTGGCATGACCCTCAAGGGGCTCAAAAGGCCACCGATGCAATCAACAGTCCCTGTGCCAGAAGGTACAAGAATGTTCGTGAGCCAACGGCCACATTAGAACGTCTGCTCGTGGTACCTGGTGTGTGCTATGACCAACAGGTACTCACAGATTACCTTAGATGTCTACCCTCAGAGGTAAGGACAAAGCTGGTAGACGAGGCCTATATCGATCAGCACAACTTCGCTTCATTCAGCAAGAAGGCCTTAGACATAGAGGCAAAGTTGGGATTTGCGCATCAGAGTCAGGGCGATGGTAGAAGAGACTACCCCAGGACTGGAAAAAGAAAGGTCAACTAATGTTCGTCGACCACGATGGTTAGACGACAGAAATTGACGACTTCCCAAACAGAGCATGATAGGGCCAGTGAGATTTCGGATGGGGGAGTCGTGGCACCTATCAAGGAAAAGGCTAGGGGGACCGGGAAAAAGAAGGTAGTACGGTCCACGGGCCAGGGCGACCAAGGAACACCCGCATCGGTAAAACTTGGTTTAGAGTATGAGGTGTGTAGGGACCGAGTCGCTAGGGGCACTTGCATGAACTGTGGCAATTATGGCCACACGTCCCGAACATGCCGAGGCAAAAAGGTAACCACGAGGGTAGCCTCACCAACGGTGGTGGGACTTTCTTCGAACTCTGGCGGTGCTTCTGCGAGCACTTCGCAGGGAAACACCTCGGGCCAATAGGAGTTTTAGTCGCTCTTACTCGCTCTGAAGTGGTAACGTTGCCTTCCCCACTTCAGGCGTTGGCCAAGGCTAGTGACCCACGTATCGCCCCGCAGGCACATTCAGACCCACCGACGCTCTGTTCGAGAGATGTGTCTGAGGCCCTAGAAGAGTTAGAAACTGAGTGGTCAGGGAAGGACCTCAGGGACTCTTGGGCGATGATCAGTAGAGGTCAAAAGGGTGAACATTTTGTGGTAGAGGTTGATGTAGGTGGCCGCAAAGTTGGCGCCTTCGCAGACATAGGCTCTACACGGAACTTGATCAGTCGTGCTTGTGTGGATAGACTGCGCTTAGGGGACCAAGTGCATCGGCTTAGCAGAACTGTAGCTTCTACGCTGGCCAACAAGCACCAAATGTTGGTAAAAGACTATGTCAAGAACGTAGTCTGTACCTTCTCCAAAGTCTCCTTCCTGGTTAGCACCGAACTGCCCTTTGACATGCTCCTAGGTATGTACTACCTCGAGGTCACGCAATTGCAGTTTGTCTGGGATAGAAAGATGTTGATTCACAAATTGCCCAACGATAGATTTGTTAGATTGCAGAAGTTTAAAGCTAGCAGTCTGATAGAAAACTACGGGTGCATGTGTGCATCATCTTTTTATAACTATTATAAACAGAATCACGAGGAGGGCATGTATCTAGTATGTCTCTGAGAAAGGGGAGGTCGTAAAAACACCCCCAGAGATAGAATCAGTCGTCGCTCAGTATTCAGACCTTTTCTAGGAGCCCACAGGCATGGTAGAAAGGGAGGTTGTCCACGCAATAGAGGTTGTCTCAGGTAGTAAGGTGCCTAGAGGACGAATCTATAGGATGTCTCCTGTGGAGTTAGATGAGCTCCGCCGCCAGCTCAAGGAGCTCATAGAGAAGGGTTGGATTCGGCCTAGTACCTCCCCTTACGACGCTCCAGTCCTATTCGTACCGAAGAAGGGAGGTACCTTGAGGATGTGCATTGATTATAGGGGTCTGAATGCCATCACTGTTAAGAACGTTGTCGGCCCGAATACCCTTACCCTTACAAGGGTATTTAGGCACATTTTTGCATCTCGCAGAAGGGGTGTTTTCGACGATATTCGAGCGGGTGTCTCATTTTTGTGTGACCATAACCAACTCTAAGGGGTTGGGAATGACAAGCGTTTCTGATTTGATGAGAGAGTGCGTGGGCGTGCACTTCGAGGGCACGCATGGGGTTTTAGGCGGACATCTGGCTATATTTAGGAGAGCGGCGCCCGCGCTTAGTAGCGTGTGCTAGAAAAGGAGTGTGAAGAAACTGCAGTAGCGCACGCGCTGCGCATTCGCGTTCGAGATCGACAGTGATGATCAAGGCTATTTGCTACGGCACTAGGATTAGTGAGGTGCAAAGTGTTTGACTTCCTAGGCCGACCATGATATTTGGTCAATGGTAAAAGCCGCGAACGGCTCTATAAAAGTTGGAGTTCCGACGCTGGGGTGGTAAAAGCGTGGTCTTTTGGTAGCCTAGTGAGAAAGCTGGGGTTTTTGGGTAACGACTTGATTATGCCGCATGCACGAATGTAGCAGGTAAAATTGACCCCGTCATATGGCAAGGGTCGACATATAGGAGCCCTAGAAATGGCAGGTGTGCCTAAGTATGACCTTCAAGTACAGTCCGATAGGCCTAGGCCTGAAAACAAACGTCTTTATAACTAAGTCCGCGCTTGTTTCATCCAAGCTTGAGCCTAGCCCTATAGGTTACGACTTTGGATTGAAACTACGAAGACCCGGGGATCGAGGCCAGCAGTCGACAGCGAAGGAGCGAAGGAGCGTCTTAGGAAGGAAATTGAGGGGACGAGGGTCGCACGGGACTATCCCCCTTAGTTTTGCCAGGAAGTCTGATCGCGGGACGATGGACATGACCGAGGGTCGGGTTTCGACGGTCCTTCCCCTCCCGTCGCCACTCTCCTATATTTCTGACTTTTTTTTATTATTATTTATTTACCTATTTTATCCCACCTTGGGACGCGGTCCGGTACCGGTCTTGGGACCGGCTGTAGACCCAAGAGCCTAGCTCAGTGGGTACGCCATTGAACTTTTGAAATACAAACCCGCGTTCGGATCCGTTGAACTATTGAACTATTGAAATACAGACCCAAGAGCCTAGCCCATGAAGTACGGATCTGAACTATTGAAACCAGCAGCCTGGTACAGTTAGTACACTTATGAACTGTCGAAGATAGAAACCGAAAGTTTACCAAAAAAAAAAAAAAAAAAAAAAGTCCTATTTTTATCATTTATTTAGTTAGTTAGTTTATTATCTTCGTTCACGAAGAGTTCTTGCGCAAGATCTGTGAGTGGCGCCGTGTGACCAGCAAAGTACCGATTCGCCATTGCTGCAGACAGGCAGGGTCTTGTCCCATTTGAAAAGGTACATCAGTGTGACCTAACCCATGCCCAAAAACCTCGAGTTCAGCCTATCCCAAATCTCTATATTTCGCAGATTTGGAGTCGCAGTGTGAGCATTCCCGGTGGGACTAACAAGATGGTGAACTATGGCTGAGCAATGCGGTGCCACAGGGAGTGTCAGTAGAGGCCCGCAGCAATACCGCTGCCAACCATCCATCGGACCTGGGTATAGGGCGGAAGGCTAGCCAGGCCGCCAAGTAGCAGGTTCCCTCAATAGGTCTCCCTCGGGGTAACTGGAGCTGTGGAACTGTTTTACTGCGCAGCAGTGAGACCATACACGGCAGGAGAGGGGACTGTGGTGACTTCTACATCTGGTACCAGGATTGGCCAGGCCAAGAACCAGCTGGCCCGGCTCAGTCGGTACACCCATGAACTGTTGAAAATACAGACACGAGTCCGAAGTCCAATGGAGGCAAATGAACAGCATGCTATGATTCTGAATTACCCGGGACCGGCCAGGGCCATGGGGGTGTTCCAGTGCCACGCCCATGGGAAGAATCGAGTAGAAAAGGGGGCGGAGGTCGACGGTTCTGAGGTTCACCTCGCTGCTTTTTCTGTTCGCAGTCTTAGTGGAGGGTGCGTTGTTTCTTAGTGGAGTGTACACGGGGCAGCCACCGCGTTGATTGCGGCCATAGCTGAGGCCGGACAGCTCCACTAGCAGCAGCTCCGGACTCTGCACTCAACCCAACAAGGCTGCATTGACTGAAGGAAGGAGTGAATCTGAAGCATATCTGCGCCAGGTGCATTCAGAGGAAGGAAAGAAATTGATGAAGAAAGGAAGGATGTGTATGCCAGGGGGGGGGGAGATGTACAACTCGCTCGTTCCGGAATGGATCTGAGTAGTGAAAAGTGCCTTGTAGGAGCTTTTTGGTGGGTGAATCAGATGGCAGGCTGAGTTTGGCGGATTGGAGAGTGTATGGGGGAGTATAGGAGGAAGAGAGCCAGCAAAAGTGTCGAGGGAGACAGTGAGGAGAAAGGGGGGGGAGTAAATTTTGATTATCTCGGTCGTTCCTTGGTCGTTTTGAGCAAGCTAAGACTCTAAACTGGGGTTTTTAGACATGGCGAGTCGCTCTGTTGCGTCAGAATTCGATTTTAGCAGGTCGCATGGCCGGTATAAGGGTTAAATATTGCGCAGGGTGATGAACCTGGTCACTTTCTAACGGGAGATTCGTTCTCATTTTGCACACTAGGTGGATAGCAGAACATGATCCTAGCTGTGCACCATCACCCTCACTCTCAACAAGGAGGGGAAGTGAATCTGACCATGGGTCTGCGAGAGATGCATTCGGAATAGACAAAGAAAATGGCGGAGTAGAGACGAAAAATTCCTCTTCCCCCTTCCACCCCACCTTCGTCCGCCTCACCAACACTCCCGACTCTCCCATTGACATCTCCTACCTTCTTCCCCCTTCCCCCCCACCCCCCGTCTCCCCACATCAATTCCTCCACATGTCCTGTGAACACCCTGACTCCGCTTACTATTGCCTTGTCATCGATCGTGAGCGTCCCGAGGACTTGCTTCCAACAAACGAACCCGACCAAGATCCTCTTTCTAACCCCACATCACCGCCCTCCTCTCCAAATTCAAAGATGTCTTCCCCGAGTCCTTGCCCGCCGGTCTACCTCCCGATCGCGGTGTATCCCACACCATTGATCTCGAGCCCGGCAACTCTCCTCCTTGCCGCCCCCCGTACCAGTCTCCGTCCCCGAGGCCGAAGAGATGAAGCGACAACTTAATGAACTCCTTGAGAAAGGATTCATTAAGCCTAGCTCCTCCCCCTTCGGAACCAGCTGTCTCTTCGTTAAGAAGAACGGCACCTCGGAACTCCGCATGTGCACAGACTACCGTGCCCTGAACCGGATCACGATCAAGAACAAGTACCCACTCCCTCGCATATCCGAGCTTCTTGCTCGCCTCCGTGGAGCCAAGTATTTCACCAAGATTGATCTCTGCAATGGCTTCCACCAGATCCGCATCCGCGAGGAGGACACCCACAAGACCGCCTTTCGCTCTCGCTTCGGGCACTACGAGTTCCTTGTGATGCCCTTCGGACTCACCAATGCCCCCGTCACATTCCAATCTACCATGAATCACATCTTTCGCGACCTCCTCGAAGTCTGTGTCGTGATCTACCTTGATGATATCCTCGTCTTTAGCTCCACCTTCAAATCCCATCTCGAACACCTTCGCAAAGTTCTCTCCATCCTTCGAGAACAGAAGTTCTACGCCAAGCTCAACAAGTGTACATTTGCTGCCCCTAGCCTAGAATACCTTGGTCACATTGTCTCGGCCGACGGCATCCGCATGGACCTCAAAAAGGTCTTCGCCCTTGTCGAGTTCCCACCTCCATCCACCTTGACCCAGCTTCGCTCATTCATTGGACTCGCCAACTATTACCGCCCCTTCATTCAAAACTTCTCCGACGTCTCCTACCCTCTCCATGAGCTCACCCGCGCCACCAAGTCCTTCACATGGACTGAACGCCGCCAAGCCGCTTTCAACAAACTCAAGCAACTCATCACCACCGCCCCCATCCTCAAGATCGCTGACCCCACTCGCCATTTCTTCGTCACTACTGATGCCTCAGACTTTGCCAATGGGGTTGTCCTGTCCCAGCATTTCCCTCCTGACCCCACCGAGATCCCCTCTGTCAAAGATTCCCCTGCTCACTCAAAGTCCCCACCCGACGAACACCCCATTGCCTTCGCTAGCAAGAAACTCCTTCCTGCGGAGATGAATTACCCCTCCAACGAAAAGGAACTCCTAGCCGTGGTCTACGCCCTCAAAGTCTGGCGTTCGTACCTCGACGGGCAATACTTCACCATCCACACTAACAACACAGTCGTCTCCTCCATCCTTACCAAGAAAGACATCACCCCCCGCCAAGCCCGATGGCTAGACTTTCTTGCCCAATTCACCTTCACCATCTGCCACACCCCCGGCAAAAGCAACCGCGTTGTTGATGCCCTTTCCCTCCGCCCCCCGACCACAAGCCCCCTGAGAAAGTCTAAGCCGCCATGACCCATATTCAACTTCTTCCCTCGTCACATCGCCGCTACACCCAAGGTTACCTCTCTTGCCCAGACTTCGCTTCCATTTACGACCAACTCCGCAACCTTGACTCAATCCCTGACTACTCTCTCCATGACAATCTACTCTACATTGACACCAAGGGCACTCGCCGACTCTGCATCCCTCACGCACGTGGTCTTCGTACCCAGCTCTTGGTCGAGCACCACGACGCCAAGACCGCTGGCCACCTCGGTTTCCAGAAAACCTTCGACACCATCTCCCGCTACTTCCATTGGCCTTCTCTACTTGCTGATCTCAAAGCATACATCCGCTCATGCACCACCTGTCAAGCCGTTAATCCCTCGAACCGGGCCAAGCCCGGCAAGCTCCAATCATTGCCCATCCCTACCCACCGATGGCAGTCCATCTCCATGGACTTCGTGTGCGGCCTCCCCGAGGCCGACCGTGGGCATGATTGCATCTACGTCATTGTTTGTCGTCTGATCAAACGCGCCCACTTCATTCCTTGTACCACCTCGCACAATGCCAAAGACATCGCCATACTCTTCTTCGATCATGTCGCTTGCCACCACGGTCTCCCCGAGAACATCATCAGTGACCGCGATCCCCGCTTCCTATCACAGTTCTGGAAACACCTCTTCCAAGCCTACGGAACCACGCTCAAGTATAGCACTGCATTCCACCCCCAGACCGATGGCCAGACCGAGAAGATGAGCGATACTTTCCAAAGAATTTTGCGGAAGTATTGTCATCCACACCAACACGACTGGAATCAATTGCTCACAACCGCCGAGATTGCCTACAACAACGCTGTCTGCGCCTCCATTGGCATGTCCCCTTTCTACCTCAACCTTGGCTACCATCCCCGCTTGCCCTCTGATTTCTTGCTTCCCTCGCARCTCAGCCCCTCCACCCCTTGCCCCTCTCTCAATGAATGGGTAGCAACAATGAACAGACTCCTCAGAGAAGCAACCGAAGCCCTTGAAAGAACACAAGAACAACAAGCMAACAAGACTAACAAACACAGACGTGACGTGTTATTCAAAGTAGGGGACAAAGTTTGGCTTTCCGCTTTGAACCCGAACAAGGCTTGTCCAAGAAACTCTCGAACAAGTGGCTCGGTCCCTTCCCCATCATTGAACAAACCTCTCCCGTGACTTACAAACTTCAGCTTCCACCTGACATGTGTCGCGTCCACCCAGACTTCCACGTAGAATACCTCAAGGAATACCACGAATCCCCGCCCCAGTTCGCTGACCGCCCTTATCCTAGACCTCCACCAATCATGCTTCCAACAGGCCCAGAATTCATAGTCGAATCAATCATAGGACGAAGAACAACTCAAGTATCAGATCACCCGGAACCAATCACCGAATACAAAGTAAAATGGACCGGATACCCTGATGAAGAACCAACATGGGAACCCCTTGATAATCTCAAGAATGCCATGAAACTTGTTCGTGCCTATGATCGTGCCTACCCTGTATCCTAACTATACCCCGACATAAACCCTAAACCTTCGCTTAAAACCCTGCTACAACCTCGCAACCCTGCTCTACACACACACGCTTGAACCCAGCCCACCCTCCCCTCGATCCTGATTCCTGATGTCTGATCTGCCCTTGCCCTCGCCTAGCCTTATCCCATCTGTCCTCTCCACTACCTTGTCTCTCTTGTCCAATGCTTGTGAACTTGCGTGACGCCGGCGATAAAGGATCTAATGGCAAACGCACGAGGACGATGGCCTGCTGCCTCACTGATCATGGAGATTATGCAGTTAGTTTGGCCACCATGCTGTTTCATCGGTCGGCATCCCGACTCGCAGACTTACTTGAGCAGCAACTTGTGACATGGATCATTGCATCAGTCTGCGACTTCCTTGCTTCCAGATCAGACCTCATTGCAATTCGTGCACCGGACGCACCCTAGCACTTGGACTTTGGACATTTGAACTACTGATACGCTTCTTGGACTTCCACCTGTCGCAGCCGCTGAGGACTGCTTCTACCACCTACTCCAAGACCTGATCAAGACCGTTGCAGATCCCCTTTCAAGACACTTGGACACTTTGTTCCTACATGAGATTTTGCTTCCCACTCCTTCGGACATACCAGCCCCTACATCCTGAACAAACACTTTTATTTTTCCTGACAACCCTGTAGAACATCATTAGAAAATCCCTGTTCCCCTAACCATTGTCTCCCTTACTCACTAGAACATCAATAGAAATTCCCTGTTTCCCTGACCATTGTTCCCCTTACCCACTAGAACATCAATAGAAATTCCCTGTTTTCCTGGACATTGTTTCCCCTTACCCATTAGAACATCAATAGAAATCCCCTGTTCCCTGAATGTTTCTTAGCTTCCCCTGTAGACCTGCCCAGTTACATCATACCTTCACCTGTGCAGAACATCTGACGGAATACCCTGTGACTTGCATCACTCCCTTCTCCTTTTCCGACCAGTGATCGGCCCTGTCCCGTCCTTCACAGTTTCTTTTTGTTTCCTTAGGTTTTTGGCAGCCGGGACGTTGCCTTTCAGAGGGAGGGGATAGTGTTACGGACTCCGCCAGGGCTCAACCCCTGGTCTATTTTGTTGCTGTTTTTGCTACGTCCCGTTTTTGGCCTGGCACCCTTTTTCCAAACCCCTCCTTTGGTACCGTCGGATTTTGGACAACTGGCGCCATGCTACAATTCGGGCGCATACAGTACGGGCAACCAGTCTCGTACCAGTTTCAGCTGCTATACTCGGACTCAGTGTGACTTGCTCCTGTTTTCGGCATTCGGAATCCAAGACTTCGACTTTGTGTCCTTGCCACTGTGTCTGCGTCCGACCCTCAGTCGTGTCGAGTGAGTGAGTGTGTGTGTATGCTCTCACTCTCTCCCTCTCTCCCCCCTCTTCCTCGGCTCTCCCTGTCTCCCCCAGCCACGCGCTCGTTACAGAGGAGCTCAAGTCTTTTCCTTTGCGTTTTGATCCCTTTCCCCTACGTTCATCGATGTCGTCGCCCTGAAATTAATCTTCATTTTGTCCGTTCACCACGTTACGTGCATCCTTGCTTTCATCATCGTCCTGCCTCCTTCTTCAGCGCCTTTGCTGTCGTCGTTGTCATTATCGTCGTTGCCGTTGCCGTTGCCGTTGCCGTTGCCGTTGCCGTTGCTGTTGTCGTTGTTGTTGTTGTTGTTGTTGTTGTTGTTGTTGTTGTTGTTGTTGTTGTTGTTGTTGCTGCTGCTGTTGTTGCTGTTGTTGTCGCTGTTGTTGTCGTCGTTGTCGTTGTCGTCGTTGTTGTTGTTGTTGTTGTTGTTGTTGTTGTTGTTGTTGTTGTTGTTGTTGTTGTTGTTGTTGTTCCTTCACCACCTTCATAATCAAATAGCTCAAATTCTGTTTTGTTTAGATTAGTGGATATGTGATGGGGTGGTCTATTATATTGAATTCATGTTGAGCATGATGATCCCCTTCCTCCAACTCCCCCCTTCCTCCACCACCCAATTTTCACCTCCTCGTCTACAACTATGCCGGCTCACTATCGTCTCCCACCAGTACCACCATCTTCAGACATTTCTGCTGCATTTTGATACCTAACCATGCTTTCATCACACTCCCGCTCCTCGTCTTCAGTCCAAAAATTTTCTGCCTCCCTGATTCCTGGCCCCAACATTTTTGCGCCCTTTCCAAGCTGCTTCCACTCATAGTGATACCCACCTTTGCTTTTGTAGACCACCTTTCCCACACTCACCCATACAGTCCATCGGGTCACCTCAGGGCTCTCTCTCTCTCTCTCTCTCTCTCTCTCTCTCTCTCTCTCTCTCTCTCTCTCTCTCTCTCT